AGACGGCAACAGCCACAGTTCTAAAATTGAAGCTTCAAAACAAAATACATCTACATAACCTGACAAATTCCCCTTCCTTTCCATCAAGGAGATCATTTCATTTTAATGACAGTTTGTCTGAGACAAACTTCTGACAACATTGCCATAAATCAACAGATCACAGGCCTGCCTCTCGCTTCCTTCACTTTACCCCCAAGACACTTTCCTTCCCTTCAAGAAGGTGACTCATCTTCCACCAATCAAAGGGCTGAACCAATAATCACTCAACCCGGACCTCCCCCAGGTTTGATTTGCACGTTTGATAAATGGTGTCTTTTCTCGGCTTTAATTGCAAGCCTTTTCATCATAATTTAATGTTTGTTTCCTGTCGTTTTCTTGAAGGTGGCTGCGAGTGTAAGGGCTGTAATTTTTTTTTTACATGAAGGAAGTTGTTATGTATGACTAGCAGGTGGAATAGAAGGCAGAGTAATGATTTCAGCATTGAAATCACCCGGCAAGTCATTTAAGTAACTGATAAGGACAAATGATAACACAGACTAGGCTGATTTCACACACACAGACACAGCACACATACACAGCACAGTGTGGGAACAAGAGATAATTAGGGTAATTTTTGTTTGAAGTGTTATGCATCGCAATGAAAATAGAACAGATAAAAGATGAGACAATAATAGATCTAAAGAGGACCTTGACTGAATGTTGTTCCAACAAAGAGCATTTTGTTTGACACAATTCATACTGTATGCGAAACCGAGATCCTGTCCCAACTTTACAAGAGGAGGAAAAACATCATATAAAACAAAATAAGCTAAATATGCATTATTAAATTCATCAACACTTTGGGTCTTACCACAATGTGCAGACCATTAAAATATTTATTTCTTCCTTGAGATAGACTATCAGTCTTTAAGGAGGGAGAAAAGAAATCAGAATCCGCTGGTGATGAATTATGCCGTGTGTATAGATATATTTCTCCTTTTATATAACATGCAAAATGGAGTATCTAAAGTGAGAGACAACTGAATTCAGGTCACAACGCAGCAGGAAATCTTCCTTTTCATGTGAGATCCAGAGGGGTCACTCTTATGAACTCATTAGGAGAGAAATGCTAATGTAGCTCTGTTTTTTCCTCCCCTTCTTCCTTCTCTCTCTCTCTTTTCTTCCCACTTCAACTGTCCTGCTTGTTTTAACAACGAGGGCCGTGATGCATAGAGCCAAGCTGGAATATATAATGCAGTTTCATGTCAAGGGAAGGTGTGTTAGGTGGTTCTGACAGCAGTTCATTAGAGAGGCTGTCGCTGGTTTGCCTTGTCATCAAGTCCCAAACTAGAATTATTACACAGCAAACAAAAGCTGTATGTTATGTGTTTGTTGTGTGTGTATATATCTATATCTATATATCTATCTATCTATCTATCTATATATATATATATATATATATATGTCACCTAGTGAACAAATAACCTCTCCTCTCAGGGTTGCTAATCAGGAAGATGGGCTTCCTGCAGTGGTCTCTCATCATGTAGCAGTGGGTATTTAATAATGGATCTCTCCCTCACTCATCGTTTTCACAAACTAGCTTTCTTTCCAATACCAGAATATTAAATTACAATAAACAAAAAAAAAAAAAAAAAACCCCAAACCCAGCTGGAAACACAATTCAGCTGAGGCCAAACCAAGCTAATATGTAGCATTATGAAACATTTGCAATAACAATATAACATAAAAATATACACAGGTATTTGATAGTTGGCATTCAATTGTTTTACTGATAAATGTTTTTATGTTTCCATAACTACTTCTGTCACTGATCCACTATGTTTCATAATTTTATTGAAAAAAAATTCAGTCTGTCATGATGGAAAAATCTGTTGTATTTTCATGATTCAATTGTGCAGATATTATTAGTTTTTCTTATTAGTGTTAATTTATCTTCAATCATAGTAAATATCTTCTTGGTCTGGACTGCTTTGTTGCTGATTTATGTGCTTGCTGATAAGGGTTCCACAGATGCTGTGCAGTATAAGCAAAAATCATTTTAGAAAGAAAAGTAAAGAAATGATCTCTGTAAAAATCTTTGATCTATTGCTGATTGTCTCCGTTTATTCACATATTTAGTTTAAGGTCAAAATTACCCTTTGCAAGACACCTTTTGATTAAAAAAAGTAAAGCATTGTTATGGTTTTATATAATTGTTTGTTTTATGCGTTTTATACATTGCATAGGGTATAATCACATATTAATATACAAAAATGCATTTATTCTTTGGGAAGAGTTTTGCTGTGAAGAACTGTCACCATCTCCCTGCCAGTCCTACATCTGGCACTGGCACCAAAGTGTGCATTAAATACACACTTCAATCAGTTTAAATCATGTTTGTGTATAATTGTAATCAAATGGGAAACATAAAGTATGAATCGGTTGAGTGTGTTTTTAGACTGTTAAACTGGGGCCTACTGTGTCTCACTGATGCTGAAAACAGAGCATTAGGATTATGGTTTATATGTTGCATTTTACCACGTATTTGAATGCCAGTAAACCAAAGAATAAACATGAGTCATTTATGCTTGTGATTTATATTTAATCTGTTTCCTTTTTTTAACACTGTGGGATCTTTCCACTTCAGAGGCCCTGCAGGCCTGTACTCTCTTTTTCAGTATCTTAATAGGCCTTAATGCAACCTAAAGTCGCCCCCTCCTCCTCCCAGATTGTTCCCTTTCTACCAATTTTATCATTTAAAACCATATCCAAGGTGAATGCAGAACACATGCAGGAGAGAAAAATATATTTATACAAGTGTAAAAACGGTTAGGTTGCTTCTGTTAGCATGGCTTTAGGGTGGTGGTGGTGCTGTAGCATCATTTGAGATCGCGCCAGGAAAAAAAATAGTGCCGGATAATTAAATTAAATACAATGTAATGAAGTAGAACCGACAGTTCCTACCGAGAGGAGAAGATTTCTTTTTTTCTACCTTGTAGGCTATCACAGTTTTTGGCTGGAAACAAGAAAAAATACTGTTAAAGGGTCTTTTAAATGAAAGCTTTGCTTGTTCTTGTCTGCCTGTGTGAAATCTTTCTAATTAACTCTCTTTTTCACTGCTGTGTTTTTGTGCGCGTGTTAGTGTGCGTCTGCTGCGATCGTGCGTAGCCGACTTGTGCGTGAATGTGTGTGCGTACGCGCGGCGCGCGTGCGGCGACAGCAGCAGCAGCAGCGCGCTTTCCGCTATACTCTGGAATGCAGCCAGTCTCGGCTCTTTTGAATCCACACTCGGCTTCCAAAACCCAAAAGCCTTTGATCTTTTTTTCCCCCTCGCTGTCTCCTTACCCGGAAGAGAACCCCTTCGCTCTCTCTCTCTCTCACTCTCAGCTGGGTTGAACGCACACGTGGAAATGTTGGCCCGACTCCACACTCAGACCAAATTTAGTCATACAAAGGCAAGGGAGAGCAGGAGGGGGAGGAGGGGAGGGGGTGGAAGAGGGAGGAAGGGAGAGAGGGAGGGAGGTGGCGGTGGAAGCGTGGTGTGGGGGGGAGTCGGGGATGAAAGAGCCAGCCGCCGCAAGATCAAAGGCAGCCGCGGCTCCGCCCCGCTAACCCCACCTCCGCGCTTTATAAAGATCTGCCTCCCCATCCCAACTTTGATTCTCACGCAATCTCTTAGTGCTCAGACAGATGCAGAAACTCAGCCACTTCCACTGCCTGTTTTGTTTACTTTCTTTTTTCTGAAAACAACAAAGCAACAATTGTATTTTCTCATTAAATACATCGGCATTAAAGTACTCTTTTTTTCTTATAAATATTTATCCGCTCGTCTGCGGCTTGATATTCACGGGTTTTTTCAGTGGTAAAAGTAGCAAACAGACAATGGCTGGTCTTTAAACTGTTTTCTATATTTTTGTTAATTTCATTGCGCATGTGCTAATAATGAATTAATATGAAAAAGGGACATTAAATATAGGCAGGTAACCTGTGAGTACAATATGACATTTTCTTTTAATCTGTCCATTTTGGGGGGCGACGACACTTTCTGAATACGTTCTTATTTGTTTGATGTAAGTAGAAAACACGGAAAGCACCATGTAGCCACAAATATGCCCACGATATACCGCAAGGTAGTTTAAAGGGAGCTGAATAAATAACAGGCCTATGTCCCCTTATAGACATACACCTGATACACACATACACACACACACACACATAGAGTGTATATATGTATATATATATATGTGTGTGTGTGTGTGTGTGTGTGAGAGAGAGATATTTTTTCCAACACTTGGAGCATACGTTGTGTTTTTCTTCCTCTAAACTTCCCTCAGCTTATAATTTTTTTTTGTTTCTGTTTCCAAAACAGGCCATTGCCACTTCTTGCAGAATGATTAAATCACATCTCCAGCACCAACAAAACGGGCTTAAGCTTGTCCAATATTTTCCCCTCTATATTTCAATTATCATTTTTTATTTCTCCTCATTATTTTAACCCATCACATCCACAGCAAGTTCCAGCCTCTCCGCTCATTCTCCTTTTCCTCCCCTCCTGTCTGCCCATTTGTTGTGAGCTGTGTATAAATCTCTCTCTCAGGAGGAGTGTCAATCGGTGCGGTGTCAATCAGAGCCTCGGCTTCCCTTTCATCTCTCTTTCCTCCCAGTGACTGAAGAGAGAGAAAAAGGAGGAGGAGGGAGCACGGCTACATTACCAACACACACATACACACACTGGTTACATTACGCTGTGGAAGCGGTGCAGGAGCAGTGGGAAGTCGGGTCCACGGCGTTTTTCCACTCTTGCCTTCTTTTTTTGATTGTTTTCTGTGATTTTCTTCTTCTTTTTGTTTTTGCTTTTATCCCTCCTCCTCCGAGCAGCTTCGAGGATGTATTTTTAAGCATCACGGCGTCTCGCTGCGTTGCTTGTCGCCCAAGTATTTGCTTGTTTTAAAAACCCCCAACAACAACTGCGTTTTCTTCCATTTACACATCCATCACTTAATTTCTTTTCCCTTTTCCTCGTCTTACTTTCCCCCTCCCTCCAACCTCTCCACACGCACACTGAAGGACGCTCGCAGCTCCGTCCCCGGGACCACCGAGGAAATATCTTCTCTCACTTTTCTAAATGTACTTTTTCACGTTGAGTCGTTTTTACAGGAACGCGGCGGTCGTCGCGTGCTGACTTCAAACAGAAAAAAAAGAAAGAAAGCGAGAGGGGAGAAAAAAGATGGTGATGAGATTTTAACTCGTGGTTTGTTCCCCCTTTTTATGTTTTCCTCATGACATTGAGGCGTGCACTGGACTTCTCATTCCGACCGCTTTGCATCTCACTTTTTTTAGTGTGTGAGTTTCAAGCTTAGTTAAACTCTCGCGACGGAAAAAGAACAGAAAAGAGGGGGGAAAAAACAACAACAAAAGGACGCCGGCAGCAGCCTCGCGCCTCCTGTTGCTTCAGTAAAAACACACCGGCAGTGTGCTCGCACGCCGCTTCCTCTCCGGGTGACTCTCCGGTGTGACACAGGGGAGGAGGTGGAGGGGGGGAAGGCAACGGTTCCCACTCCGTTTCGGTGGGAGTTTTTTTTTATTTTTCCTTTTTCATCTTTCCCACTCTCTATTTCTGTGTAGTTTCGGGACAGTGGTGGCACGCGTTGTTGTCTTCGGTTTTCTCGGGGAAGCGAAACACTTTGTGAAAAAATGCCCCAGTTATCAGGCGGCGGAGACCCGGAGCTTTGCGCCACAGATGAAATGATCCCGTTCAAAGACGAGGGGGACCCGCAGAAGGAGCAGATCTTCGCCGAGCTGAGCCATTCGGAAGAGGAAGGGGACCTGGCAGACATCAAGTCATCTCTGGTCAACGAGTCGGAAAGCAGCCCCAACAGCAACAGCCACGACGTGAGTAACTGCTGTGGGTTCACTGATGTGGTGGTGGGCATCCTCTGAGAGCTCCCCAGCAGAGAGAGAAGGTTAATAAAAATACAACTAAAAAGCCCGCAGGAGCCTTTAAAACAAAAGTTGATCCCCTCTAATTAATAATCTAGTTTTTTACTCAGCTTTGGTTTACCTGAATGTCTTGTGAGCAAAAACGCCTCCTCCCCCTTTGCTTAGTTTTATAGACAAATCATTATTCGAGCTTTATTATTTATTGTCATTATTAATTCACAATTTCCATTTTATTTTCCTTTTAATTGAAAATGTAACTTGAGCTGTGCCACTGATATGGCTCTGATTCCTTAAACTAGAAAAAAACAAAGATGTCACAGGCAAACACTCAGCAGTCTATTAACTGTAATCAATGCAGGCCTAAATTGTAATGTTCTGTTACAGTTATATTTTTCTTTAAATAAATGAAATTGCAGATAGAACTAAATGCAAAAGATCTTGTATGAGATGTGAGAACTAGGGCCTTGCGAAGCTGCCTGTGACAAGCAGGGCTCGGTGGCTGTGCTGGCAGTGGTACACCCACAGCAGCTTAAACACCAGCACATGAATCCATTTATCACACATGGCTTAAAACCTGTTTGCCAGCAATATTGTGAACTTCCTTAACATTCACAATTTTTTAAATTCTGCCTGGATGAAAGGATGCGGTCTTTTATTTCGTTTTCAAGATGTGATCTTCACACACTCCGGCTCATTCTGCTCATTAATTTTATTGCCCCTTTTAAAACTGTGCCTATAAATTATTCTTTTCAGTTTTTAAGGTTGGAATTGGAGGGGGGGGCTGAGTTGTATAATAAACATTTTTCTGCATTTGCTTTGTTCCATTTGATTAAACTGAAAGGATGCTGAGAGGCCAGATGGGTGCATGAGAAGAATGTGTGGATGTGCTGAATTTGTGGTGAATGTTAAATGGATTGAAAATCTCAGTGGAAAAATTATTCTAGATTAATTTTTAATGATGAAAAATTATTGCAGTCGTGCTTTATATATCACACTTGCAAGATGGCATTTTTTTTCTAGGCAGGGGAGAAGTGACAGAGCGTGAACCATCAGTGATTTCTTCTTTTCCCCTGCATCCATCAAGCCTACCTTAGGATGCAGGCTGTAGCATCCCCATCATTTAAGTTGGCTGTTTTGCTATTAACCGTGGTGTTAATCCATTTTCTTTCTTTCTTTTCTGATTTAAAAAAAAAAAAAATTCTACATGGCTACATCCTGAACGAAACTGTACGCATTCCCCGCCGAATGTCCTAGGGACACACGAGACAGAGGCTGAATGTTAATTAGGAATCCAGTGAAGTTCCCTCGCTCAGCTTGAAGCCATCCTGAGGGGTCTGAACTCTAAAAAAGAGGTCCCCTTCCCAATTCGGATTCGAAAAGAGAAAGGAAATGGGTGTTCAAAGTGCAGAGGATTTTTTTCTTTTTTTTTTCATAAGCAGAAAATAGTCGGCACTGTTTCCCTTTTTTTTTTTTTTTATGGAGCGATTTTATTTCCCTTTGCACACAGCTATTTCATTTATGACACAAACACACTATTTGAATTGAGAAGGAGGCTCAGACTGGAAGATGAAAATGAGAGTGGACCTATGGTACTGAAAACAAGCTAATTTGTAAGCTCCTTAAAGACATGAAGCTTAATTAAGTGGTTCTTCTGAAGCTTTGATGCAGGCTGCTCCATCACTCTTCTATAGATAGTGGTGTGTGTGTGTGTCTGTCTGTAAGCTTTCTCTCCTTTGGTGACAGGCAAAGGGACGATGTTTGTCCCAGCAATGTTTGTGGCTGTCTGACCACATCAGCATGTGTGTAACTGTGTTTGAATGCCTTTCTAATTGATTCTTCCTCTCCCCCCCCCCTCCCTCCCTCTCTCTGTATTTTAATTTTATTTATTTCTTTTTTTACAGGCAGCTAGACAGTCCCAAATACCACAAGATTCATATCATGAAAAACACAGAGACCATCCGGAAGATGGTAAGAGACACAATCTGGAGCTTGTTAAATCAGCATGTGTTATAGGACAATCAGCACTACATTTATTTGCAATAAAAGTCCATTTTTTTTCTTTTTCCTTTTTAAATGTGGTTTGCTTTTGCTTTAGAAGATAAGGTGGAAGTAGTGGCCCCTCGTTTTCACCACGCGGAAGTGATGAAACTGTTGGTACTTCTCTTATCAGAGCCCCTGTTCCTGCTCATCCTAAGTCTAGTCAGGGCATGCTGTACCTTCATAAACACAGCTACCTGTTACCTCCCTGGTAGATGAGGGTACCTGCACAAATGGACATAAAAGAAGAAGGAGCAAAAATATGCACTTATGCACATATGGCAGCAGCCTCAAGTTGAGCACAACCCAAAAGCAAAACTTTTGTCTGGCTGTTTCGTGTCGTGTTTCCTCAAATATTCCTGTCGTATCCCTCAGCTCTCCGGTTGCATTGTCGCATGCAACATGTTGCGTCCTCTTGGGGCTTGTTGCTCTCTGGCTATTGTAGTCTGACCCCGCTGCTGCAGGTCATTATTAGGGCTTTGAAGAGGAGTATGCCTCCTCTTTGTTCCCCTTTCACTCCTGAATGGGATCCCCTTCAAATCAAACACTGGCTTTCTTCACAACAAGATCTATGTTGCCGTCACATTGTATACCAGAAACAGCCCCAGCCCCTCCAGGCCTTATTACGCCGCGCACATTCGAGTGGCGAGCGATGCTGTATTGAAGCCTCTTGTGCAAAGCTCCCCCCCCCCATCTCAGGTCAAAGGCATAGAGGAACAGTTGGGGCGTCTCCTGTTTTGACACAGTCTGTATGTTCTTCTAATTGGTGCTAATTGGCACAGAGGGGCTCCATTGTTCCGCTGCATAATATGACCCGCCTCTGTGAGGCGGAAAGAAAAGGCACAAACAAAAGGCCGTGGCAAAATAGGGCAGGGGTTAAATCAATCGACAGCGATATCATTACTACATCAAAACAGCCAAGCCAACTTTGTGCTCGGCTTTGTTGTTGCTGCTTATCGAGTTTGTTGATTAAAATCAGCCATTTCGAAGATATGACTGTAATTAAAGCTATTGAATCTTTGGCTAATTAATCTTTTACTGGTGTTTGTGCTCTCTGTGCAAAAACACAGCGACCGACACGCGTTTACTTTGTTTGTTTTTTAAAAAATGTTTTTATTAGGAAAGCATCAAGACATGTACAGTAAAGGCCATCCGTACCCGGGCTACCCAGGTTACATCATGATGAGCAACATGAACACTGATTCCTACATGAACAATGGCTCCCTCTCGCCGCCCATGCCCAGAACGGTCAGTACCAGCTTTTTTTCCTCTACACAAGTCAGTATTGCAGTTTAACTTGTATTATTTCATGATGTGAAATGCAAACTTAAGCTTGACGCGTGTTAGTCAGCATATCATTTGCCTGTGAGACAAAGACGAAATTTTCTAATTTTACGTCGTAAGAATATAAAAAATTATGTAGTTATGAGAAAAGTAAATAATTGACAGTCCTGAGTGATGAAATGAATACAAACGCAGGGCATTTTTAGAGAGAAATTCGTTTATTTTGGATGAGTTAAAGCTTTTTTTATTTAGTTTTTTTAATACTGTTAAATGATAGTAGATGTTAGTAATAGTTTGGAACTTCTGTTTAATTAATTAGTGCTAGTGGGAAGGAAGGCAAAAACAAAAATTATGGGTAACTTTAAAACACCAGCAGAGATTTAACTGCCAACTTTGCACCTGCTCAGATTTAGTCCAGGCTCGGGACAAAATTTCTCCTGACAAAAGAAACTAAAAAGCAAAACTGATCCTAAATTAAGTTACAGTAATGTCACGTATCCTGCTAATGTCCTGTAAATGAGTGTGGTCAGACTGAAGGAGCTATTGCTTTACCTACCCGCAGACTGTCAAAAGGTTACCAAGAGGCAGCAGGACATGCTGGTATTTTGTTGTTGCTGTAGTTGGTTTGTTTTTTTTTTTTACTTATGACATTTTCACAGTGATCCCAGAAATAAATTAAATGTATGTATCAGACGCTTGTAGATGAGTGCAAGACTTAATCAAAAGTGTCACCTTAGAACAAGATTAGAGTTTTCAGGACCTTTTTTTCTTTTTTTTAGTATTTACCATTTATGATGTATCAGCTAAAAATAACCTCATTGATGTTTTTGTAGCTGTGACTGCTGGTTTCTGTTTTTAACCACTGCAAATTGAGAACTTCATATTGTCGATTAAGTGAAATCTGTGGTTTTTGAGTTTTCGCTTTCAACACCAATAGCTAGCATTTGGCATTTGTGTGTGTGTTTTAAATTTAGGAGATGTATCAACACAACTAAAAAGATATTTACTGCTCTTTGTGAGATAAATAAAAAGTCCTTTGCCAATGTGGGACGCTTTTTGTGGTGTCTCTCATGGAGCGTTGAAAGATTTATTACAGAGATTTCCATCTTTAAGCTTTTGGGTAAAATTGACTCAGAGTTGGATATCAGCAGGTAAATCATTTTACAGAGTGATCTAATTGGTGGCTTTAAAATAAAATTCAAACCATTTAGTTGCGAGAAAATAATTCCTGCTAAAAAATTCAGCTCAGCCCAGAATACTTCCAAGAGTCGATTAAGAGGATTTAAGGAAAAAAATCAGATTTCTCGGCTTTCTCGTTAGAGGCATAAACCTTATTTCATCATCAGGATAACACCACAAAAATATTCTCTTTCAGTGTTTGTGATGTTTGATATTTGTCTCGCCGTTGTGTTGTGCTGATATCTGGCCCCTTGACAGCTATACGTGACCACTGAAAACCAAACGCCAGCCATACTTTGCGAACAGTCTCTGTGAGATGTACACTATTTCTGATCTTGTTAAAATATGAAGTGATGCATGCCTACATGACTCAAGTAAACCCTCTAATTAGCCCAGCAGAACTGAGGGAGCCAACATCACGTCTCTGGGGCTACCCTGCAGAAGAGCTTATAGTACCGTGTTAGGGGTGGCGTGTGTTGCAGATATCGCCCCTGTGACGGTATTAATTTCAGGCCAGCTGCAGGTCTCTGACTGGCGGCTTCCTGTGTCTGTCCCGTTTGCAAATTTCTCCTCAAGACAGACATAAAACACAGGGCGCACGAGCAGCTGTCCGGTCTGGCCCTGCTCTCCTCACGTCTCTGCAGCCAGCTTCAGTCTTGTCTACGGTGTGGCGTCTCTATACGGGAAACGCTCGGTTGTTGTGCTTTTGCAGTGCGTGCGAGTCGGTTTCATCAGGGTAAAGTTGTGAAATGTGAGCTCTGTGTTGTTGTAAGAATTGGTTTTTGGAAGCAGATGTGATTGTCGGGGGCAGATGCCACATGCTGTGTGTAAAGGATCTTCATTCACACGCAACTCTATCATAGAATGATGTTAAAATTGCAATGCTTCCTGGCTGCCAAAGTTGCAGAAGGTGAAAGTATATGACATTGTGGATCGGGGGGGATTTTTTCAGTTTACAAGCAGGATAGAGCACAAGCGGAGTATGTTACCTTCCAAATTCTATTTTTTGGCTTGTTTTCTGGTAGATTTTAGCTATTATTTTACTGTATAGCACAAAGCTAAAAGAAAAACTCATAGAAGTCTGTATGGAGACCAGCTGACTGTGTGAGAGGAAATTACCCCTCACTGCAGATGAATTAGGCCAGGCAGTTAGGCAGTATACTTGCTGCCAAAACTTCTAAAGCCACGCTTTCATTTCATTTACCATGGCTGCTTTTTTTTTTTTTTTTTTTCCAATTTTCCTCCTTCCCTGTCTTCAATAAAACGGTAGTCATTTTATATACGTTTCTCTCACTTATCCAATAAAAAGAGCCAAGGCTTGGTGGAGGGATCACGGAACATGAGTCCTCTGGCTTTCTCACTGATGTCAGCTTGCTGCCTCTGCTGCTGGCCACCGCAGCCACAGTATCTGCAGGCCTGGGATCGGTTTTCACTGAGATCAAAGGCACATTCTCTCTTTCATTCTCTTCCATCCCCAGCCCCATCACCGCCCCCAATCCCAGTAGTTTAGATTGATTTCCATTGACCATGACATTCCTGCACATGCCGTCCAGTCACGACGGAGCTGTTGGGAGTTGCTGATTGTCAGCAGATTTTAGGACTTCCAGCTTGATAAGCTGACTCCGGCACAAGAGCTTAGAATTTGATGTGTGATGATGCCAGTTCCCCATACGTGTGGGTTTAAAACAAAGCTAGCCAACTTAAGGAGTCATTTATTTGTTAAGTGAACTTGCAGCTTTTGAAGATTTACAGTTTACAGTTCAATACGTAAAAGTGTAAGGACTGTAATCTACACCTTGGTGATCATAAAGCAACAGAAACTTGAGTTTCTGGTAAATACTAGTGGGAACTGCTGTCTAATTTGAAGTGTGTATTTTAAAGCGATTATCACATTTGTCCATATTGGACTGTTGCTCATTACCTTGGCTGTGATTATAGGCATACAGAAAACCAGGTTAGTAGGGTGGTGGCAAGCTTTTTTGTCGACAAATTTGGCTGATTTACAGCTTTTCATTTTGAAGCTCAGTGCACTTTTTGATATGAACAAGTGGACATGTTTTAAAGGAATATACTGCATGTGAGGTCTTTTTCAAAGAGGCTCATCATTCTAACGCTTGACTTGTGACATGTCGCAAGTCTAGAGGATACAATCTTATCAGTTTCTGCTGACCCAAGGATGACGTAGATGGGAGTAAATCACACAGTAGGCTTGTTTTATACCCCTGATCTGAATGTATTTAATTTTTTAATTTACAGTACAACTGTTTAACTTGTAGCACAATATTTTTTTGTATCCTTTTGCCTTGGGATAACCAGCTCACTAGTTACCCAATGTCTCCACTCTGAGAAGCCCTGACTTAAGGAGACAGAAGCTCACACACATTTTTATTTGCTGTTGCCCACATCAGGATTCTTTATTTTTCTCCCGTGAACAGCCTTCCTGAGCACTTACAGAATCATCTGATAAGGCGAAAAGTGTTTTTCTGCCTGGAATAATTTGTATTTGTGCTATTTTAAACCTTTGCTGTGTAAAAACTAGAAGGACTGTCAAGAGCAGTTTTGGTCAGAATGATCATAATATAAAGTCTGATCTTCAAAGCAGCACGGATGTCATCGCGCCAGGTTTGATGTGTGAAAGACGACGCACTTGGCGCTTGCTTATCATTGAATCTGTTCTTCTTTAGTCTCACAAACCAAAGCTGAGATTTAGAAATGACAGCTTCTAAAAAAAGATCGCAGTGCATGTGATGGGCAGCGCATATTTTTAAATGACCTGAAATCATTTCTCAAAGCATGCTGCTGTTGTCACATAAACGCCCTCCCATTTGCAAAAACTCCCGTTCTACACGCTCTTTTTTTTTTTTTTTTTTAAAGTTTAAACAAATCCCTAGAACCAGTGAGCCCACGGCATTCTGCCATATTCCCTTTTTAATAAACGTATTAATGCGTGCTTGACAAGATAAAAACGCTGCTGCATGCTCTTAGTTTTAACATGTTGATAGTGCAGACGTAGAGTACCAGGTTTTTCCACCTTTTAGTTTGAAGATGTGTTTGCAATCTCCAACTGTGAGAGCAGTCTCATGAGTCTTGGGCATCAGTTTGAAGAGAGAACTGGATAGAATCACTGGGTTTTGTTGCTGCGGTTGAGGGGAGGGGAGGGGAGGAGGGGGGGTTTAGAGATCTCCCTCTCTATTGCCGTTCACTTCTTTTTCCCTTTGGACCCTCAACTGCAAGATCCTCGTGGCGAGAAAAGAGGGGGCGAAGGGAGTGCAGCGCTGCACTTTCCTTTGATGTAGTGGGAACGTGACGGATCTGCTAGCCAGTGTCTCGCAGCGTGGAATCACTAACCCAGGCTTACCTAACGGGATTTGGTAGGACCGCTCTGGTATCCCTCAGTGCCATGTGTGTCCTAAGCTCATGCCCTCAGCACTACCGTGGAAGATCCCTGTTAAAGAGAACACTACATTTACCAGCAGCCTTCCATGTCCACAAATAATGTTCTAGTTGGCAGCTTATGGCACCTTGAGTAGTTTTCTTTAAGTCTCACAACAGACTGGTCATGCTTTGTGAAATTTACTAGAGCTCAATGTAGCATTTTTGCCTTTTAAGCAGCTGACCTCCATATGATTATCTCACTGTCAGCTCATCTAATTTTCAGTACACTGGCTTTAGTGTGATGCTGTGCATGGTTGCATATTTAGTGGGAAAGTATAGAAAACACAACAACTGTCAGAAGACAGATTTTTAGCACCAATCTGGCAGCGTATGCATCAGAGCCACGCTGA